TGAGCATGTTGGTAAAATGCGCAGAGCCCCGCTGAAGAGCGCTAGCATTAGAAAAAGGCCCTGTATTTGTTCTGCGCAGCGCAAGCAAATGTAATAACATGCTTGCACTGTGTTTGCTTTTAAATTGTCTCTGGTGTCTCCACAAGTGGGATACCAGAGGACAAAAGGGCCAGGAAAGTGTATGGTGCATGCTTGTGGGATTGCCTGTGTGTAGAGTGTGGTGTGGTATTGTGTAAATAGGTCAATTTTGTGGTGTAATATGTGTGGCAAGGGGCTGTAGAGAGTGCGTGTATAGGGGCATAGTGTTATAGGGGATGTAGCGAGTGTGTGCATACGGGCAGTAGTGTGTGTGTATAGGTGACGTAGTGTGTGTCACTTATACAAACACACTACTGTGTGTAGAGAGGGTGTGTTTAGAGAATGTTGTATGTGTTTGCTTACAAGGAATGTAGTGTGTGTGTGTAGGTGGTGCAGTGTGTGTAAGAGATCTAGTGTGTAAAGGACCCAGAGTGTGTATAGAAGATTGCGTGTGTGTGTGTAGAGGAGTAAGAGTGCATATAGGGTAAGGGATCTAGCGTGTATCTGGAGCGTAATGTGTGTAGTGGTGCAGTGTGAGGGGTGCTGTAGTGTGTGTGTATATATATATATATATATATATATATTTGGACGTATTGTATGTGTGAGGTGCGCAGAGTGTTTGTGTAAGAGGAGTGCTGTGTGTGAGGGTGTTTTTATCTGCCGTCACATTCTGGGTTTCTAATTTTATTTGTCTGTTAACTCACTGAAGGTTATTTTATATAATATATATGTGCTGTATATGTGTGGGAGTGAGGGTGCTGTCTGTCTGAGGGTGTTGTGTGCGTCTGGGGGTGCTGTGTGTGTCTGGGTGCTGTGTGTGTGTGTGTGTGTGTGTGTCTGGGGGGGGCTGTGTGTGTCTGAGGGGGGGCTGTGTGTGTCTGGGGTGGATCAGTATGGGTGTGTGGAGGGTCAGTCTGTGTGTGTGGGGTCAGTATGTGTGGGGTGGGTCAGTCTGTATGTGTGGGGATCAGTCTGTATATATATATATATATATATATATATATATATATACACACACACAGTATATGACCTTGGCACTCACCCCTTCAATGCCGCTTGATAAACTTGCCTCGGTGCTACCTGTGCAATAATGTATTCAGAGAAGAGTAGGTGCACTCACAGGTTTATTTTCCAATGTTTTTCTTTTATTTCAAGTTACATATACATTGTCCCAATCAACGTTTCGACCCACTAGAGGTCTTTTTCAAGCATGGTCAAGTTGCCAGAAAAAAGCCTTTACTTCGACAATGCCACAAAAAAGCCTGGTTACAATATGCTTAACAACACCTTGACACCCCTCACAGCTTCTGGCACACTGTAATTTGGAGTGATGAGACCATAATAGAGCTTTATGGTCACAACCACAAGCACTATGTTTGGAGAGGGGTCAACAAGGCCTATAGTAAAAAGAGTACCATCCAGACTGTGAAGCATGATGGTGCCTCACTGATGGGGTTTTTTTTTTGGGGGAAATGAGCTCTAAAGGTACTGGGAATCTTGTGAAAATTGATGGCAGGTTGAATGCAGTATATTATCAGAAAATACTGGCAGACAATTTGCATTCTTCTGCACAAAGGCTGTGCATGGGACGCTCTTGGACTTTCCAACATGACAATGACCCTAAGCACAAGGGCATGTTGACCCTTCAGTGGTTACAGCAGAAAAAGGTGAAGGTTCTGGAGTAGCCATCACAGTCTCGTAAACCTTAATATCATCGAGTCACTCTGGGGAGATCTAAAACGTGCGGTTCATACAAGACGACCAAAGACTTTGCATGACCTGGAGGCATTTTGTCAAGACGAATGGGCAGCTATACCACCCGCTAGAATTAGGGGCCTCATAGACAACTATTACAAAAGACTGCACACTGTCATTGATGCTTAAGGGGGCAATACACAGTATTAAGAACTAGTGGTATTGTTGCCATGTTTTGATTTATGATTATGCCATTCTATTATAACCTACAGTTGAATATGAATCCCATATAGAAATAAAATAAATAAATTCTCCAAGGCTATGCAAAATTTTGGGCACAATTGTATACACACTTGTATACAATATATATTCATTCTTACTGGATTTTGATAAAATATATATATACGTATATATATATATATTACATTTAAAAAAAATTATATTTGTGGTCATCTACTAAATCTCTTTTTAGAAAATGTGGTTAATTCACAGTATCAACACTTCAGTAAAATAGACTTTCATCAGGATGAAACTTGTGAGACATCACTGAACACAAATATGAAGTGTATGTGATCATTTACTTAAATGGAAGTTGATAAGCAACAATAGCAGACCTGGAAGTCACCATATTAGATAATATTTTTAACACGACCACTTTGGCCTACAAATTATTCCCATGTCAGCTAGTCACACACAAGATCTGTCATTTAACTGCTATCTTTTCTAGTTTAAACTCCACTTTGTTTTAAACAAAGCAGGAGAGGGACTGTGAATTCCAGCCACAGTCTAGTGACAGTGAATTCATGTGCTGACTTGTAAATTACTCAACTGTCAAAACAAACGACACCTAAAAAATATCTCTTAAAAAAAAAAAAAGGATATGAGCTACTACACGGTTAATAAGTGCACACAACATATATATTACACACACACACACGTGTAAAGTGAATAACTAATTATGTAGTTACAATAGCACATGTTAAACGGTGGGATATATTAGGCAGCATGTGAACAGTCAGTGCTTGAATTTTATGTGTTGAAAACAGACTTTGACAGGGGTCAAATTGTGATGGCTAGACGACTGGGTCAGAGCCAAAACGGAAAGTCTTGTGAGGTGTTCCCGTGATGCAGTGGTTAGTACCTACCAAAAGTAATGCAAGGGACGACAACAGAGAACCAGTGTCAGGGTCATTGGCACCCAAGGCTCATGGATGCCCGTGGGGAGCAAAGCTCAACTGTAACTCAACTGCTAAAAAACATATTGCTGTTCATCACAGAAAGGAGTCAGAACACACAGTGCATTGCAGTTTGCTGCATATGGGTCTGCATAGTCACAGACCGGTCAGGGTACCCACGATAAACCCTGCCCATTGCCAAAAGCACCTTCAATGGGGATGTGAGCATCAGAACTGGACCATGGAGCAATGGAAGAAGGATGCTTGGTATGGTGAATCACATTATCTTTTAGATCTGGTGGATGGCTGGGTATGTTTGTTATTTACCTGGGGAGAGATTGTAGCAGGATGCACTATGGGAAGAAGGCAGGCCGGCAAAGGTAGTGTCATGCTCTTAGCAATGGTCTGCTGGGAAGCCTTGGGTTCTTGTATTCATGCGGATGTCACTTTAAAACCTATAGATTGTTGCAGACCAAGTACACCCCTTCATGGCAATGGTGTTCCCTGGTGGCAGTGAACCTCTTTCAGCAGCATAATGCACCCTGCCACACAGCAAAAATTGTTCAAGCATGGTCTGAGCAACATGACAAAGAGTTCAAGGTGTTGCCTTGGCCTCTAAATTCCACAGACCACAATCTGATTGAGCATCTGTGGGATGTGCAGGAACAACAAATCCAATCCATGGAGGCCCCACCTCGCAATTTGCAGTACTTAAAGGATCTGCTGCTAACGTCTTGGTGCCAGATACCACAGGACACATTCAGATGTTTTGCGGAGTCCATGCCTTGATGCATCAGAGTGGTTTTGGCTGGTTATTGGGCATGCTGTGGCTGATCAGTATATACAGTCATGGGAAAAAGCAAGTACTCCCTCTTTGAATGCTATGGTATTACATATCAGGACATAATAACAATCATCTACTGAATACGTAGCTTCTTTATTTTGGCTTTATTGATAAATAAATCATGACATGATGTAATATATCATGTTTTGCTGTTTATCTGAGGTCGTATTTTTCTAATATTAAGACCTGCTACAGGACAAATGATTGTAGAACTTGCTTTAATGTACTTAATATTCATACCTTAATTTGCACCATTATTTTACTTGGTGTATATCTTTGTCAAAAATACATAATAATCAAACAATTTCTGAAAGCCACCCAGTGGTATTACCTGAAAGCGGCACTGTCACTACCCACCGCCTGAAAAAATGAGTATTTCATAATGATAGAATCTTTCTGAAATACTCATATAAACTGTGTTTCAAATTCAATGAAATTCCAAATTCCAAGAAATATACTGAGACAAAGTAGGGACTACTTTATTGCTGTATATTTCCTCTGCCATTTCTAGACACTGGGCAAAGCATGGCCGTTTAGAAGTATCAATCCCCCCAGTTGTCACTAGTGGTTGTGACGTAAAAAGGTGCTGATTGAAATAAACTAGGAAACCATAAAATACAAAGAAAAGGCTGCTACCACTATGTCTGGGTGCTTCCCAAACATCACACTGCAAACTCTAGAGCACAGTGAACTGTGTTGGTAAGTAGTGAAAAAATAAAATCACACGAAACTACAATGGAGTGCTAAGTGTCAAAGGTGAGTACAGCACTCATCATTTCCAAATGTAAAAATGCAAGTGTTATTCAAAAATAAAATATGCAGAATATAAGGGTGTACAAATTCAGACTCGCATAGACAGAGCATATAGGTTGGCTGAAGCTTCTGTAATTATTTGGTGGTAAACAAAACACTCCTCCTTAGATAGGTACTCCCAATAAATCCAGGATTGAAATAAAAAAGTATAGAACAGAAATATAGTATAGTATCTTGATACACAAATGAGAAATAATGGCAATAAATAGTGGTGCTTCCTATATATAGAGCTTAAAAGACTGTCTCAATGTATCAGTGGTGTTCAGTGCTTATTATAGGTAACACGTATCCGCCTCTGTGCTGCAGGACAGTCAATGAATGTAGCTGGATCCAGTATATTTTTTTTTAAAAGTACAGCTTTATTAAAATAAATAAAAATATTTTTAAAAATGCATAAAACCAAAAAGCGTTTCGACATTGGCCTTTGCTTCTTCAGCTGGTAACTGGCATGATCCAGGTAAACTTTCTTATAAGGTGCCTCCGAGATGCCAACACTTCATTTCAGTCAATTGGGTTAATTGTGGCCAAAGTATTGGTGACTCGATATGCAATTCAAAAGTCTGGTTTAACCAGAGGTGACATATCTGCAAATAGTGCAACGTCACTTCAGGTTCGATTGGGTGTATCAGAGACATCACAAAGTACCTCCCTCTCCACCATGTTTTGATTAGAAAGATAAACAATAATACACCATGTTACATTTTACAAGTGGGGGGGCGGGGAAAAGGTTAAAAACAAGAATAGGGAGAAATATTTGGTGTTTTTCAAAAGGAAATATAGATATTACTTAATGTTAACAAAACCTTTCCAGCATCAGCTCTTTCAAGGATTGGCCAATTTAAATAATGTTCTTTCTGGTTTACACAGTCAAGCCCGTGATGCCATGTGCTGATGCTGAAAACTACTACTTATGAATTTGAACGAGATGGTTAGCTGTTGGAAAGGAACCGGGTACACGAATTGGGACATTGAAACCTGGAGACAGTAGTCCTCCGACCTATGTGGTGAGATTGAACCCTTGGTGGCACTACTTTTTTTTGCACATTTCTTTGTATATGTGCATTTTATTTTGTGACTGTGTTTTTAAATAGTTTTATATTTTATTGAATAAATTTATCTCCTATGATATGATTTCATTTTTTATCTACTTTCACGTATTCAAATTCTTCTATTCCAGAGGAACCGTTGATAAGCGATATCCTCATAACAAAGTGGTAACTGTGTAATTTATTGACACTTGTGTTGTGGCGCCCTCTACTGCATGTAGAGTTTTCTATATACAATTTTGTTATCTGTATATTTTAAGGATTGGGGAGTCAACCTTTTATAGTGGCTAAAGAAAAAAAAGTTACCTGCGCTCTTTCCACATCCCTATGTATTTTTAAACAAATGGAGGTTTTTTGGTTACCTCCAATGACCATGAGAGGGTAAGCCCACCTGCCACGTCAAGGCAGACCTCTTAGGTGGGTCCTAACTCTAACCATTCGCCTTGCTTCCTTGAGCTTCTGGCAAAAATATCTCTAATGAGACAGAAAGGGGTATTTTTATATATACCCCTACATGCTTATTAACCCTTAATAGGGAACACATGGGATGGGCAGCAGCATTGCAACCTAGCTGTGTGATACAAAAGTGAATACAAATACAAAAAAAACTAGTCCTGCGCTCAAACTCCCATTACTCCTGGGCGGCAGCAATGACTATAGTACACATCAGCCGAAATACATATAAGCATGTATATAAAAAAAATACCCCTGTCTCAGAGATATTTTTGGGAAATATTTGTTGGCTCCCAACACAACTAGAATTTTTTATGTTTTATTTTCCCAGCAGCTCCCAACCTGCACAATACATTAGCAAAGCACCCCCTACTGCCAGCACTCTTTGGTTAGTACACCACTGGATATACACCTGTGCGTAGAAAATATGATATCTTGGATATTCACAAATGCATACAATGTGACTGCTCATATTTAAGCAATATATTTATTACTAATAAAATAAATACCATCTTAGAAAATGCATAAAATTCAAAGTCAATAGTCTACAAATTCTTTCGTAGAGCACGTGCGATCAAACCTTTTTTGATGGCAAATGGAAACACAGGCAGGGCCTTAGTGCTGAGCATGCAGGCGACTTTCCAATACTTCCTGCTTCAGTTTTGAACAATTTGTTTTCTGTTTCAGTTGCCATTTTGATGGATGCAGCATAGCAAGTTTTCTAAAAGTACGCCAAAGGCGACTGCAATCAGTGACTGCGTTCGGCTTACATTCAAGGCTACTGCAGTAGAGGAGAAGAAAAGATGAATTTAATAAATACAAAAAGTTTTAAAAAGTTGCAATTCCTTTAATTGTTCTTGCTTCACAATCCATGTTAGTGGATCAAATACAATGCAGATATAGTCTAAAACCATGGCAAACGCCTAGGCTAAAACATGCATAACTACTGCAAAATTATTTTTATTTTATTTCTTAAAAACATAGCAGTACGATCAGGGCTATTCAATAAAGTGAGACTTCAAAGTGAATTTCTAATTCAAGGCTTTAATAGGAGAACTGGAAAAATTCTGTAAATCAACTATGCTTCCAGTTTGAATACTTTGGCCGTTAAATTTAAAATTCACTTTACTAAATAAAACTATTAGTTTTATCATACATAATATTGTGTATTTATGTTGAGTAGATTAGTATGTATGAACATTATATAGCTGCATATTATAAAGATTAATAAACAACAGTTTATATGGTAATATTGGTTTGTGCGCACAAAAGCATTCCAAAACAGAGTGTGATAGAGCTAAAGAGGGAGCTGCAGCCAGTCATATGAAGTTGATTATTTGAGTGAAAAGATCAATTCATAGATCTAGGTCTCTAATGAAATATGAAGGGAAGCTTTTTTTAATTTATTTTTAATTTATTCTGAAGTGAATTAGAAGGAAAGCAAATAATCACATTTATTTTACACGTTGCTTGTTATCCTAAGGCAAGATGCTGCTTGCGGATTTCATTGTAAAAACTGGGACATTATGAATGTGTCATGATCAGGAGTTACGGAATCTTGCCAGTGCATGAATAGAAACACATTATTATTGATTCGGATGTGCATATCACATGACAAGAGGAAGTAAGAATAAAAATGTCATTAGCAACAGAAAGTGCTACAACCTTTTCATCAACATCCCTATAAGCAGGAGTTTGACAATAGTAGATGCATCATTTAAAATGTACTGGTAATCCACCAAGGAGTACAATTTATAGGATGGACATTATTTGAAAATAGCCTGTGTAAGCTTTTTTTCCCCATTTGCCTAAATTTGGTCTCATGAAGTCATGTGATTTACTCTTACTCTGACGTTCTGTGTATTATGCATGCATTTAATAATTAATACTAGATTTAAATTGTAAAATATTGGATTTACACACCAAGACAACAAACAGCAGCATTATAAGGGCATTACCTCGGACTGCTTGGGTATTTGATGTTAGGACAAATAGACTGATGAGTCTGAGACATAGGGGTGTATAGTCGTGCTCCCAGATAACAGCCGGGATCAATAATAGCTTCCCATAATTGGATAGTAATAGGGCCTTCAGCAGCAAAAGACAATCTGACCGGGAATTCAAGAGGCTAGGCATTACCAAATACAAAACAATGAAGATACCGGCAAGGAATGCAGATTGTTCTATGGAAAAAAAAAAAAACACATTAGTTTCTCATCGATGGAATATTACTTATTTTTAATATGTCTCAGACACATCACTAACGCTGGAAGCAAATCACTAGTGCTTGAAATAGATCAAGAGTGCTTGATAAAAGTAAATAAGCTGTTTGACCTGGAAGATATTTACAGGGTTATTTACTATATAGTGAGAATTGTTGGGAATTTAGAGTGAATTTCTAATTGAAATTAAAAATAGCATATCGTATGCTTTGCTACTTTGGCCTTGAATGTGAAAATCAGTTTTAAGAATTTCCATCAATTCTCATATTAGTAAATAACCCTATTAAGGTTATTTAGTTTTCATGTACATACTGTGGAATTAGTTAACACCATAGGCGAGTGCCCGATTGCCAGGCTGCTGCACAAACTGTCAGGGAGATCAAAATATCTCCCTGACCAATGCTGTGCAGCGTCAATTCTCTCCAGCATGGTGTGGATCTCTTCGATCAGCACCATCTGTGCCATGTGCTATGACACTGGACTGTCAGCAATACACTGTATCTGCTGCCTGCAGTTGGTGATATAGGTGGCTGTCAAGATGCAAGAGATGTATACACTTGCCCACACTACTCTCCCCGCGCTGTTGTTGTGACATCATATCCCTTCCCCATCAGGCCCTACTAAAGGAATACAGATCAGGGAGAGCAGTATGAGGCAAGAGCATTACCACTTTTCAGCCACTTACACCACCAAGGGTAAGCACCAATGTTTTATTTTTATTCCCCGTAAGCCTTCCTATTTCCCTATCATTAGCAACCATCCCTCTCCCTATTACTTATCACTCTCATCCATGCTTCCATCTGCATTCTTCTATCACTTCCACCCACTCTCCCCATTCACTTATCACTTCCATGTATACATCCATCTGCATCCTCCTATCACTCCCACCCATCCCTTCCACTCTCCCCATCCTCCTATCACTCCAACCTATCCTTTACTCTCTCACACCTCAGTCTCTCCTCAAACTCCGACCAATCCCTCCCTACTCATTTTCCTATCACACCCAGTAGGTACTCTCTGGGCGACAGGAGGAAGGGGAGTACACAGCACTACTGGCACATTGCTGGTGGAGGGTCTGCCTGCAGATGCCTGCTCGAGTGCTGTAGTATTGGATACAGAGCAGGCGGCGAGGTGGCTGCTGGGATCTCTCTGTACTGAGCATCCAGCTTACTTGCGTACTGATACTGAAGTGGGAATGTGATGTTTTTGTGTGTAATTGTATATGAATGAATGCATGTAAGTGTGTGCATATTATTATTATTTTGTAGCGCTGTACAATGGGTGGACTAACAGACATGTAATTGTAACTGGACGTACAGAAACAGAGAGGTGGAGGGCCCTGCTTAATGAGCTTTCATTCTAGAAGGCATGTGTGTGTGTGTGTGTGCGCGCAAAAAACAACAGTGATGCTGCATATATCCTTTAAAAAATTGTCTCCTTATATAATGTTAAATGATAGTATGGGGAAAGAATCCTCTGGTGGACACCCTAATAAAATGTGCTGTACGCACCATAGATCAGTGGTCTTCAACCACAGGTCCGGCATTGGTCCACAAGAATTTATTGCCAGTCCGCGAAAGTTTTCACCAACCGCAAAATATTTCCCCGGTGCTGTGATCTTATGATCATAGCACCGGGAACTGTGCCTCCCTCTCCCCTGTCGGTTCTGCAGGACCGTAGGGAAGAACAGAGATCTCCCTCCCCGGCCAGCTAACAGTGTAATGCTGGCAGCCAGCAGGGTAGGGAGGAAGAGAGGTCTCGGGGGAGCTCTAACCTGCAGCTCTGGCGGGTTCTCCTCTCGTGAGCTCAGAGCGTTGCCGCGGTTGCCACGGCAATGCTCCAAATATCGGGAAAAAATATATACATTTCATAATCTACCCTCCAACCCCACAATCATTCACCCCTACACACACTGCCCCCCATACACACACAGCACCCCTCACACATACCATTGGGTTTTACTTCTGGCTGATGCTGGTATGCAAAATATTTCTCCTCTTTTCGCCAGGCCGTGGATGCTAAAAAGGTTGCAGAACACTGCTATAGATTCCCCATAGTACTAATTTTATTGAAGTCAGAAAGAAAGGAGAAACCAAACCTGTAAAATTTAGTTGTAAAAAAAGATCTCCTACTCAGCAGGATGATTTCTCCAACATGTATATATTGGTATACAATATTCTAAACTCCCTGATTCATAAATAAACTTTTAAATGCTGCTGAATTAAATATCTAGTTATGTTAATTCAGTTTAAATAATATTTTAAAGGCCACTCCAAGCCCCTAAACAATTTTAGTTTGCTAAAAAGTTTTATGTGTGAAGAGTGTGTCCTATTTTCATTTTGCAAAAATAAAATAAAATACAGATTTCAATAGAAATGTACAGTTTTATAAATTAACCTGGTTACACCCCCTTGGCTTTCAAGCAGACAACAGGTAATGTTACTTCCTGGTTTCGTTAGCTCGATGCAGCAATTGCCCAGAGCAACTGACTTACAAAGACTTCTCATTGAGCTGTACTGGGAAGTCTGTGATTGGACAGCCACAGAGAGGCTGGGCAGACAAGAGAACTGTGGGTTTTGAAAGCTGATTTTAGATATATCTGCATGCAAGTTTTCATTTGGGGTATATCTACTAAACAGTGATTTTTATTTATTTTGTATTTGTACAGTGGAGTGTCCCTTTAAATAACTGCAAAACAGTTATGATTTCTTCCCATGTATAGTACTAAATGACTTTTCTACGATATAGCATGAAAGCCTGTTTGATATTTGCGATTTATGACACTGCCTTTAGGGTAAGGAAAGGCTTAGTGAGGTGGTCAGAGCGGAGGTTAGGGTAAGATTATGTGAGCCTATGTGGGATTTGCCTCCACAATGTAATGGACTATTATATCAATGATTCTTAGTTATGGTCCACAGCACATTGAAAGCAGGACACATCATACCCGAAACTCCTCTTACGTCTTGTCATCCTCATCCTTAAAGGACCACTATAGGCACCCAGACCACTTCAGCTTAATGAAGTGGTCTGGGTGCCAGGTCTATCTACGTTTAACACTTTTTGCTGTTAACATAGCAGTTTCAGAGAAACTGCTATGTTTACCTATGGGTTAATCCAGCCTCTAGTGGCTGTCACACTGACAGCCGCTAGAGGCGCTTCTCACTGTGATTTTCAGAGTGAGAAGACGCCAGCATCCATAGGAAAGCATTGAGAATGCTTTCCTATGAGACTGGCTGAATGCACGCATGCGCATTCAGCCGGTGATGTCAGAAGAGGGAGGAGAGTCCCAGCGCTGAGGGAGCCCGGCATGGAAAAAAGGTAAGGGATTAACCCCCTTCAGCGCCACGGGAGTGGGACCCTGAGGGTGGGGGCACCCTTAGAGCACTATAGTGCCAGGAAAACAAGTTTGTTTTCCTGGCACTATAGTGGTCCTTTAACGCAAGTATTCCTAAACCTAGTACTTTACACCCATATTAATAAAATAAAAAATTAAAATTAAAAAAAGACCTTATGTGTGAAGGCGCTGAGGTGGTTCACAACATTTTAGGTGAGATAGTGTGGTTGCACAGCATTTCTTCTTCATTTCAGAAATTAGGCCTCAAGATGCTACTGGGCTAGATATCCGTAACTCGTCTATATTTCTAATTTACAATAGCCTACAGATTCCATATTAGTTGTTAACACACCACTAATCTTAATTTCATTCCATTGATAATAATCCCCCAAGGATGATGTTAACTCTCCATATCATATGAAGTGACAATGCTGGTACTTACCAAGTGCAGCTATCCCAAATAACCTGTAGAAATCCCATTCTTTGGCATAGCGAATAAAATCTCCAGGGTCTGTTTTATTGCTGGATCCTGGGAGCTGCAGCCACCTGGTGTAGGCCTCGCAGAGCAGACAGAATATGCACAGCTTTCCATGAATCTAGTAAATCAATCAAAATAATATTCCACTGTAAAAATTATATGTAAATTCATCATAAAACAAAAAGTACATTATATGGAGGAATACTTAAAATTATTGTTGTGCAATGAACATTTTAAATATAAAAAGGGAACAGTATGGCGTTAGGAAAACAAAACTGTGACAGTGTTTTACTTGGACGTTTCACTGAAAGCGTTTCTAGTAGCATTCAGTGTGAGCTATTACTTGGTCACTTTTTTATTTTTTGTATTTCTTATTTGTTTTTAATGCGTAAAGTACAATGATAATTAACAAAAAAATAACAGTGTGCCAATACCTAAAGTTTTAAGTGCCTACCTTAAAACCAGGTCACAATGAAACAAAATATTTTCAATATTATAACGTTTGTAAAGCTCCCAATAATAAGCTGCGCTAAATCCCCAGAGATCTGAATGTATCAAAATAAATGTATGCAAATGAAAATATAAGGAAGTCAGCCAGTCGTGCATGCCAAGATGCAAATTCTAAGTTTCTATACATATGAAAGTCTCATGACTCACTTCCATAAAAGCACAGAATAAGAGCGGAGAATCCATTTCTAAAAAACACTTTTTTTGAGAGGGTTCAAATGATATTATAAAGAAAGAGCAAATACCTGTAAGGAGGATAGAGCATAAGACTGAAACCCGGATAGAAATAAAAAAAAAATGAGGCAAAAAGAGAGGGAGTCTCAGTGGAATAGGGGTAAAATTCCCTATGCAAAACCGACTGTAAGGAACAAAGAAAAGAACGGGGAAAGGCATAAGGGGTCCGTCCATGAAAAAGGAAGAGTGGGAATATGAGAATATGAGGACAGTGGATGAATTAGGGACTATGTCTGTTAGGGAGATATGAGCTATAGAAGAAGTCCTCAAGCAGTGCTAAAATTATGTAAATTATGGAACCAGGGATCCCAGATTTTATGATAGTGTTTAGAGGTATTATTGACCAGAGCAGTTATCTTATCAACCTCCGCTGTCTCCTTTGTTTTGAGGATCACTGTAGTGTGAATGGGAACACAAGGAACTCCACAGATCTCTGCAATCACACTTCTAGTGGAAAGAGCAATCCTGGCCACAAGCTTAATCTGAGCTCTAGAGAGAGCATCAAAATGTTTACTTAATGGGATAACTACTTGTAAAATACTAGAAGAGAGAGACTGTGCAACAAAATAAAGATACATGAGGACAATCCCACTAAAGGTGCAGATATATGCCATAGTTTACATTATTTCCAACAGGAGTTCAAGGTAAGACAGCCTATCTTATAAAGACAAGTTGAAGTCGACACTGACATAGGATGAATGAATAAGTAGATAACTCCCTAATGCCCACGGTATCAGGGAGCTATCTACTAAAAGGCTGAAAGACCTGAATTGGTCTTTCAGCCAAATTTACTAATACTAAGTAAAGATTATTTAGTATTAGTAAATTATGCCCCTACTAGCTATACCGCAAGTAGGGGCACGTTTAGTAAACAGTGAGCAGCCTGTGGCTTTAAAAACAACAACAAAAAAAGTCCCCCCCTCCAGAGCCCCCACCCGTGCCGCGCGAGTGGGGGCTTCTAACCTGAAATGGGGAACTATTGCCCCCCCGGTCCCCCACCCCTGAACGGCAGGTGGGGGCCCTACAGTAAAATAAGGGGGGGGGGGACCTACTGTCAATAGGTCCCCCCCCTTATTGGTATTTAGTGCCCCCATCCACCGCACAGGGGTGAGGGCCGGGGGGAGGACATTAGGTCCCCCCCCCCCCTTATTCTGATTTAGGGCCCCCACCCTAAGGGGTGGGGGCCAGGGGGGAGGACAATAGATCCCCCCCTTATTCTGATTTAGGGCCCCCACCCGCTGCTCAGGGGTGGGGGCCGGGGGGGCAATAGGTCCCTTTAGTTTAAAAGCCCCCACTCACTCGTCGCGGGTGGGGGGGACTTTTTTTTTTTTTAAACAGTGAGCAGCCACAGGAGGTATAGCGAGTAGGGGCAAAATTTACTAATTCTAAGTAATTTTTACTTAGTATTAGTAAATGTGGCTGAAAGACCAATTTAGGTCTTTCAGCCTTTTGGTAGATAACTCCCTAATGCGGTGGGAATTAGGGAGTTATCTACTAAGCGGCTGCAAGAAAAGTCCCGAAATGCCGAAGTGTCGAAGTGCTGAAACGAACCAAAGTGCCGAAGTCCCGAATTGCAGAAGTCCTGAATTTTGGAATGCCGAACCGAACCGAACATATTCCCCATGCACATGCCTAGTACAATGCATAGAAGAATTTCCATGTTCCTACATTAGAGCATAACTTAGTGTACCTATGACAGACACAATTTTACATGTATACGCAGTGTTGTCCCCACACTGTCAGTTGTCTGGTGTTACTCCTCGGTGCATGAATATATCCCTGTAGGTGAAGGAAAATGCAGCTGGAGCTCTAGAATTGCTGTAGCCTAGCAAAGAAAGCAGAACAGCTGATGCCGCATTTAGCACCTATGTTTATAAAGAGATGGAGCAAAGCCCTCCTACTTTTCCCTCTAGACCACTGGTACAATAGAGGTACAATAACAATGTAGCAGGATTTATTATTTTTTAGAGGCTTACATACACTCTTCTCCATCGAGTGAAATGAAATGATCTTTCCTACCATATAATGGGTAGTTATGTGGTATCCACACTTGCACACCATGTTATTATTCTCATTGTGATTTTAACTACTGGTATTTTTTTGCACGTGTTTTTTTATTTATTTATTTTTTTAGAAACTCAATAACTGGAACTGGACTTTATTGGAAAAAAAATATTTATGTACAATTTATTTTTTTATTTATACCTTGCCAGTACTGCCAGTTTTAGAAGCAAAATGGTGTACTTCCTAAAAAAAAAAAACACAAGCAGAGCTTTGCCAAATACCAAAGGATCCAAATAAGAAGCATTCTACAAGAGAATGGATTTATGAAGTGTTACAGAGGAACGCATTGACATTTCTCTCATTTTTAAGGATGCCATGTAGATACACGTTATATTTTGATTTTAGAAATAATGGACACTCTCAGCCAATCACTAGTGGCAAATGGGCTTTAATTTTCCAATAAATTAAGTGAGCAATCACAGTTGTGAGAATCATGAGAAAGAGGAACCAAATGTCCAACAGCTGTTGCATAACTGGGACTGTAAAAAATGAGGGACTGGGTAGAAATGGAAACATACAAGGCAACGATAAAAATAAAAACAGGTACAGATGCTTAAGGAATTGAAAGAGGTTGAAGAGTAGAATGCAACATTGGATAGAGTTAGAAAAACTGCATGGTTAGAAAAGAGTAAAAAAGGAGGATAAAACATGGGAAATGTGTCCTGAAAATAAACTGAGCAGGTGGGAAAGATTTTTTTGCTATTTTGTTGCAAAATTGAAAAGTGCTACAAACTGATTTTTTTTGCTTTCTTTTGAATCAATAGCAAAAACAGATGTGAGAGAAAGGCTGAACTTGATGGACTCATTTTTCTTTTCAGCCCATGTAACTAGGAAAAAAATGGCACAAAAGAGACCTTTTTGTTTTCAGATTCACCATAAATTCCAAGTATGGCCTCTACTGGGGCCAACCTGCTATACCAAGAAGGCTTTTCATTCTAGCAAATGTGTAAAAGTAGGAGAAAAAATAAAAATGTATCCCCTCCCTTTACTCTGTCTCTCTAAAATTGTTAATGAATTGTGAGTTAATCTGTATAATATACTAGTTAAATTGCCAGCAAATGTAATACTTACTTGCCAGGAACCACACAAATACCCGTAATTCAAGTTTGATGTATTATGTGAATGCATTCAAAGCCGATTTCCACTTGGCAAAGTGACAGTAACATATCACACTTCGTGGCCTAGTACATAACAGTAATGAAGAGATGAATCTAACATCTTACAGATATATGTGTTGCTCCCAACTTTTGACTCACCCTGTGGCTAATACAATATTATCCATCAGTGGTCAGATTGTCATATGTGTATGAGATTAGCCCTTTAAGAATACACTGAAATGCCCACTTAAGAGCCAAAAGAGAATAAGGGAATGAATGACTTACACTGATTGTTGTATTAAAAAGGACATGCCTATAGGCCTGGGCTTTGCAGAGCATTGCATTAATCAGTATGATGACTGGGTCATACTCTATGTATTTGTCCACTGGTTTCTGGCAGGATTTCTAAAAAAAATTAAAAAAAATTAAAAAAAACCACATGAGAAATATTTCAGAATTCAGAGACTACAAGACCTAGCAAGTTATAGATTTATTCACATGGACACTACATTTAAGGGATAATTACCATTATGAACATACCAAACTTTAGTGCTTTTCTAGTGTTCCTGTCCTACTCACCCCCGGCAAGAGTCAAATCATTTTACACTTACCTAGGTTCCTCAGGTGCCTCTTCTTCAATGCTTCAATTCAGCCCATCTTTGGATAGAATTCATTGACTAAGAGTGTGGGCTAAACGGTGTGGGAGATTGCAGAAGGATAACTTCCACTTTAGATATATGAGAAGGGGGCTGGCACAAGGAAATGTCAAACTCTTAAAAGCAGTTTGACTACTTACAGAAGGGAAAACCCAAGGGACTGCTGGAACTTAAAGTATACATTATGCTGAAGTGGTTAGAGTGTTTAGACTACCCTTTAATATTCTCAGTGAATTACAATAATTTCACTCTACAAATCATTGAGCATTTTGGTAGTTTAATACAATGTTTAAATTCAACCTCAACATTATTTACGGTACATTAATCTAATTTGGTGTTTGTATCACTAAAATATGGCTAACGATTAATAGGTATAATGAAGGGTATAATTTTGTTCATAGCGTGTGAGGACAGACACACACAGTCACATACTTATAAAGTACCTAAATATCAGGTGAGAATAAAACTTGAATGCAGCGCACACACAAAGAATTACAGAATTTCACTTTTTGTATTCTCTTGAGAGCATATGCTTTGAAGTCGTTCGACCAAGACTTGCAAATAATATTATGTGCCACTTCCTTGCATGTGCAAGGATACAGCGCAGTGATGGATAACCTTGCAACTTTACATTTCTACCACTACTAAGTCAGCCTTGTGCACACATATCTGTATTGCCAAAGGGTTGGTTAGCCATTAGCAAGTCTCAGTACTCACACAAATAGTAATCTTCAGCACGCCATGCCCGTAATCTCTGTACAGCTCTCTGGACTCCTTGTTGCATTCTATACACCTGTATACAGGACTTTTCTCGACTCCCATCTTCTCAACTTACATAAAACTGTAAACACAGATACAGGCCTATAAAACAATATGTTTACAACTAATTTAGCATCTAACCAAAAAGGCGCTATTCTTCTGTGTACAGAAACATTTACACATTCAGGTATTAATCTGAGTGATCCCAATTGTTTAGAAATTAGGGAGAGAAATAAAGTTGCCTATGAAGGTTTTATCGTGGCAACTGCCAGCAAGCTTTGGATTTGAAATTCTACCATTCACTTTAATGCATTATATAGATAAAAGCAAAAATAATGCATGATATATAAATAATATAAAAAAAGATGCAACAGTTACATTGTATTTGCTGGCTTGTAACAGCACCTACAGTAAGGGGGAAAAAAAGTAAATGATCTCCTGCTGATTTTGAACGTTTGCCCACTGACAAAGAAATGATCAGTCTACAATTTTAATGGTAGGTGTATTTTAACAGTGAGAGACAGAATAACAACAACAACAAAAAAACAAACAGAAAAACACGTCAAAAAAGTTATAAACTGATTTCCATGTCAATGAGTGAAATAAGTATTTGATCCCCTATCAATCAAAAAGATTTCTGGCTCCCAGGAGTCTTTTATACAGGTAACGAGCTGAGATTAGGAGCACTCTCTTAAAGGGAGTGCTCCTAAATCTCAGCTCGTTACCTGTATAAAAGATACCTGTCCACAGAAGCAACCAATCAGATTCCAAACTCTTCACCTTGGCCAAGACCAAAGAGCTATCCAAGGATGTCAGGGACAAGAGTGTAGACCAACACAAGGCTGGAATGGTCTACAAGACCATCAAAAAGCAGCTTGGTGAGAAGGCAACAACAGTTGGTGCAATTATTCGCAAATGGAAGAAACACAAAATAGTTGTCAGTCTCACTTGGTCTGGTGCTCCATGCAAGATTTCACCTCGTGGAGTTTCAATGATCACAAGAATGGTGAGGGATCAGCCCAGAACTACACGAGAGGATCTTGTTAATGATCTCAAGACAACTGGGACCATAGTTACCAAGAAAACAATTGGTAACAAACTACGCCGTGAAGGACTGAAATCCTGCGGCGCCCGCAAGGTCCCCCTGCTCAAGAAAGCATGTACTGGCCCGTCTGAAGTTTGCCGTCTGAATGATTCAGAGGAGAACTTAGTGAAAGTTGGTCAGATGAGACCAAAATCGAGCTCTTTAGCATCAACTCAACTCGCCGTGTTTGGAGAAATGCTGCCTATGACCCCAAGAACACCATCCCCACCGTCAAACATGGAGGTAGAAACATTATGCTTTTTTGGGTGTTTTTCTGCTAAGGGGACAGGAAACTACACCGCATCAAAGGGACGATAGACAGGACCATGTATCGTCAAATCTTTGGTGAGAACCTGTCACGGTTCTCACCGCAGCAAACAGACGGCCAGACGTGGTCACCCATGGAGTTCCCAACAAGGGACTTGAACCGGGGAACTTCGCAGTCCTGGTCCTGCTTCCTTCCTCTGAGCCACAGCAGCTTTTGTATTTTGTTGTCATTCTGGTCCTGTTCATCCTGGCATGTCTATTACTCTGGGGGCTGTACCTTGACTTTGGATGTGCTTCACCTGACCCTGATCAGACATTAGCAGGGTATTTAAACTCAGCCTCGCCCTGTGATCAGGATCAAGTCTTTGATCCTGTTGTGTGCTTTGTACCAGTGTTCCTGTTGTTTGAACTGCTACTTGTTATTGACCCCGGCTTCTGACTATGTTTACTCTGACCTCTGGCATCCCTTGACTTCGGCTACTCCTCGTTGTTCCTGTCTTCTGGCATCCTTTGACCTCGGCTATCCTTTGACGATCCTGCTGTTTGAGTCCTTGCCTGTCCTGCGACTTGGTACTTCATCCTGCACAGCCCCCGTGCACAGACCCACAGGCCGGGTGAATTCTTACCTGACCACCTTGGCCTGTGGCTATCTGCAAGGGTGAGCAACATATCTGCGCTACAGACTCCCAACCCAGGTAAGATCCTGACATAAGACTTGATCAATATGGAGTCCGCAGAGATGTGCTCACCCCTGTCCCAACCAGTGTCCAGCCTGGCCCAGACTGTTTTGGAGTTGCAGCAAGAAATTTTATTTCTTAAAGGCGCAGTACGTCCAGCCCCGGAACCAGCTTATCCTGAACCGTTTGTGATCATGCCCGACCGTTTTGATGGTAGCCGCACATCCTTTCAGTCCTTTAAGATGGATTGTGAGGTGTTGTTTTCTTTAAAGCCTCGAACATATGCCACAGATTTCATCAAGGTCCGAGCGGCTATCAACCTGTTGTCTGGATGCATCAAAGTATGGGCTCACCAAATGTTGCAGACAAAGAGTCCTGTCCTTGTCAGCTGGGAATCCTTCAGTACCGCTATGGACTCACAATGCAAGACCACTGTGACCAAGCCAGCTCCACGTACCAAAAAATCTCAGATTCTTCGTAACCAAGAAACCCTGTACCACCACTACACCCCAGTGATGTCTCCTTATGATCCTGTTCCTATGAAAACTCCTGAGGTATCCTGTGTTCCACTCGACCCTGAGGAACCTATGCAATTAGGACTTGTTCACTGCAAAGTGACACCTGAGGAAAGAGACCGAAGGAGAAACCATGGCCTATGTTACTACTGTGGAGAAAGTGGGCATTTCATCACACTTTGCCCTGTTCGTCCTCCTAGACCTCCAGCTCTCCGACTGGGTACTTCTTTCCTCCACCCTGTATACACTGCATGCCAGCCGTGTCCCCGTCCTGTGACACAAAAGGGTACCCAAACTACTACAGTCAATGTTACCAGTGTCCCTCAAGAACCTGCAACCAGTACCCCTGTGGAATCTCCACTTCCTGCTCCAGAAACATCTAGACCTCTTCCTGATGACACTTCTGCTCAAGCAAGCACCATTACCACTTCCTGCCTTGCCAAAAAAGTTCTGCCACCTGACTGCACGTATGCCTCAAATGGCACAGTTGTATGCAAACAGGATCTAGAAATATTTGAAAAAGCATTGAAAGCTGCTAATACCTCCCCTGTGAGAACTACTAGAGCAAAGGCTACAGTAGGTGCTGTGTTCTCCTCTAATCTGGAAGAAGGCCATACGTATGGCATGGATGCCTATGGAAGAACGTACCTCCTGCCAGATGATGTATTTGATCTCTCAGAGGAGGAAGGTACTGATAAGCAACCAAATCACACCCGGAGGGTGTCCTTGAAGGGGGGGTACTGTCACGGTTCTCGCCACATCAAACAGACGGCTAGACGTGGTCACTCGTGGAGATCCCAACAAGGGACTTGAACCGGGGAACTTCGCAGTCCTGGTCCTGCTTCCTACCTCTGAGCCACAGCAGCTTTTGTATTCTACAAGTCATTCCGGTCCTGTTCATCCTGGCTTGTCTATCACTCTGGGGGCTGTACCTTGAATTTGGCTGTGCTGCACCTGACCCTGATCAGACATTAGCACGGTATTTAAACTCAGCCTCGCCCTGTGATCAGGATCAAGTCTTTGATCCTGTTGTGTGCTTTGTACCAGTGTTCCTGTTGTTTGAACTGCTACTTGTTATTGACCCCGGCTTCTGACTACGTTTACTCTGACCTCTGGCATCCCTTGACTTCGGCTACTCCTCGTTGTTCCTGTCTTCTGGCATCCTTTGACCTCGGCTATCCTTTGACGATCCTGCTGTTTGAGTCCTTGCCTGTCCTGTGACTTGGTACTTCATCCTGCACAGCCCCCGTGCACAGACCCACAGGCCGGGTGAATTCTTACCTGACCACCTTGGCCTGTGGCTATCTGCAAGGGTGAGCAACATATCTGCGCTACAGACTCCCAACCCAGGTAAGATCCTGACAGTATATCCTTTTCCATCTTTATAAAGTTTCATTACTTTGTTACGCAGGTCTTTTGATAGTTCTTTTCTGCTCCTTGTGGCTCAGTGTCTAGCCTGCTCAGTGCATCCACATCAGAGCTAACAAACTCATTGACTATTCATACACAAACACTAATTACAATTTAAAAAAAACACAGGTGTGGGAAATAAACCTTTAATTACCATTTTAACCTGTTTGTGTCACCTTGTGTGTCTGTAACATGGCCAAACATTCAAGGGTATGTACACTTTTGATCAGGGCCATTTGGGTGATTTCTGTTATCAATATGATTTAAAAAGGAGCCAAACTACTATGTGATAATACATGGTTTAATATGATCACTATCCTTCAATAAAATATATTTTTTTTGCATGGTCATATATTCAAAATTTCACAATTTCGGCCAGAGTATGCAAACTTCTGAGCACAACTGTACATTAGAAAAAGTAAAAACAACTTTTTCTTATAGAGAGCGTGATCTTTGTCAATAAGTGTTGCTTAAGCAATGTTTCATTTCAGATGCCAAGCTAATTTACCCATAAGCCATCAGTCAAAAGATTATAGTTGATCCAGCACGCACAATAGTATTACACCTAGGACTAAGGATAACGCCTAAACGGATCTTAGAATGGCCGGTCCTAACGTACCTGAGAATAGTCAAAATATTTGCTGAGGTCAGGGACACAGAATGAGACACAACGACGAGGAACGCCAGGAGTCAAGGATACCAGAAATCAGGGAAGTCAAAACGAAGGAATCAGGAACACACTCTCGAAAACCGGCTACTGGAAACCACGACAGGGCACTGAAAAAAGGTAATTTGGTTTGAATACCTTCCTTAGGCTGTAATTGGCTGTCTCTGACCTCTGACTATAAACGTGCATGCGCGTCTATGGCGTGACGTTGCACACACGTTGGCACCATCTTTGATATGGGCGAAGGTAAGTTTCCTATAAAAATTCGAACCGCAGCGGCCGTCGTTCCTAAGAAAGCCGCACCTGCTGGAGACCGGAATAGAGGGAGACCAGGCAGCTGCCTGCCAGGACCAAGATAAGTCAGAAATATCTCTGTCGGCATGGCTGCTTAGATTTGGTGCAGCCATGGCGGCAGAGGAGACGTGGGCCGTGACAGTACCCCCCAGTTGAAAACCACCCACCGGG